TTTGTGAAAGTGGAAAAGCTTCTCAAAAATAAGTATAAAAGTAGACCTCCAGCAAATCTTTTTTTGATAGAATGAGGAAGGGTTAACATTTTTGTCAGGAGTTTATTGTTGTCTATGTTCCCATCATGTCATCACCTGTCACAAGAGCAAAACTGAGAAGAAATCTTCCTAAGACCCTATTTGCACCTGAGCATTTTGTGGCCTGAGGCTCAAAGCTCCAAAACTCTCTATGTAGTATGTCTAAAGAGTGAGCAAGCTTGTGCTGGATTTTTGTCAGTGTTCTCTGAGTGGATGAGGTGAAGAGGTAGGGTGGTGACATCAATTGTGTTTTGCATTCATTCAGAAAATGCAAAACATTCTCTGAATGGTGCCTGTGCCAAGTAGCCAACCTCCTGTATTCACAATGAGTCAGGCCGGCAGCTCAGCACAGGACCCGGAAGCAAGTGGAGATCACTGGAGTAGCGGTGCCTACTTCAGTGAATTCCAGCTTCCAGGGGCATTGGCCAGGTATAGTATAGTACATAGTTACATTAGTCCAAGCTATATCCATACCTGGAATTCCTCTATAATTTCCACATTCTTTCCTATTTGAGAAATTACTTCTTACTTTCTGTCTGAATAAGCACTTGCCACCAGGACATAAAGAAAGGGGAAATCCCCTTAAGGGGTACACAGATATCAGGCATCAGGCATCAGGCATCAGGCATCAGGCATCCAACCCTCACAATTTTTGCTGGCATTTCAACTTAGAAAGCATATAGACCAGATTACATATACTGTATATACACACTGTATTGCCAAAAGTATTGGGAGGGACACCCCTCTAACTCATTGGATCCAGGTGTTCCAATCACCTCCATGGTCGCAAGTATATAAAATCAAGCCCCTAGGCATGCAGACTGCTTCTACAAACATTGGTAAAGAATGAGTTGCTCTCAGGAGCTCAGTGAATTTAAGTGTGGTACCATGATCCATCTGTAAGTCCATCTGTGAAATTAGCTTGCTACTAAATATTCCATGGTCAACTGTTAGTGGTATTATAACAAAGTGGAGGCAACTTGGAACAACAGCAACTCAGCCACAAAGTGGTAGGCCGTGTAAAATGACAGAGCAGGGTCAGCGCATGCTGAAGTGCACAGTGCGCAGAAGTCGCCAACTGTCTGCAGAGTCAATAGCTAAAGAATTCCAAACTTCATGTGGCCTTCAGATTAGCACAACAATAGTGTGTAGAGAGCTTCATGGAATGGGTTTCCATGGCCGAGCAGCTGCATCCAAGCCTTACATCACCAAGTGCAATGCATACCGCTGGATGCAGTGGTGTAAAGGATGCCACCACTGGACTCTAGAGCAGTGGAGATGTGTTCTCTGGAGTGACGAATCACGTTTCTCTGTCAGATAATCCGATGGATGCGTCTGGATTTGGTGGTTGACAGGAGATCGGTACTTGTCTGACTGCATTGTGCAAAGTCTAAAGTTTGGTGGAGGGGGGATTATGCTGTGGGGTGTTTTTCAGGGGTTGGGCTTGGCCCCTTAGTTTCAGTGAAGGAAACTTCTAAGTTGTCAGCATATCAAATCATTTTGGACAATTTCATGCTCCCAACTTTTTGGGAAGAGTTTGGGGATGGCCCCATCCTGTTCCAACATGGCTGTGCACCAGTGCACAAAGCAAGGTCCATTAAGACATGGATGATTGAATTTGGGGTGGAGGAACTTGACTGGCCTGACCTCAACCCAATAGAACACTTTTGGGATGAATTAGAGCGGACATCAGTGCCTGACTTCACAAATGCGTATCTGGAAAAATGGTCAAACATTCCCTTAGACACATTCCTAAACCTTGTGGACAACCTTCCCAGAAGAGTTGAAGCTGTTAGAGCTGCAAATGGTGGGCCAACTCAATATTAAACTCTACAGAGTAAGACTGGGATGCCATTAAAGTACAAAAGCAGGTGTCCCAATACTTTTGGTAATATAGTACACATATATATATATATATATACACACAATTAGGTCCATATATTCCATATATATTTGGACATAGGCACAATTTTCATATCTTTGGCTCTGTATGCCACTAGGATAAATTCAAACAAAACAATCCAAATGAATTTGAAGTGCAGACTTTCAGTTTTAATTCAAGGGGTTGAACATATATATCAAGTACAAATTTTAGGAACTTTAACCATTTTTATTCACAGTCCCTCCATTTTCAGGGGCTCAAATGTAATTGGAAAATTAATATAATCATAAAAAGAATGTTAATTTTTAATATTTTGTTGAGAATCCTTTACTGGCAACAACTGCCTGATGTCTGGAACCCCTGAACATTACCAAAGACTGGGTTTCCACCTTTCTGATGCTTTGCCAGGCTCTAACTGCAGCTGTCTTCAGTTGTTCTTTGTGGGTCTTTCTGCCTTTAGGTTTTGCCTTCAGCAAGTGAAATGCATGCTCACTTGGGTTGAGATCAGGTGATTGACACAGCCATTGCAGAATATTCCACTTCTTTTCCTTCAAAAGCTCCTGGGTTGCTTTTGCAGTGTGTTTTGGACCATTGTCCATCTGTACTGTGAAGCGCCGTCCAATCAACTTTGCTGCATTGTGGTGAATCTGGGCTGACAGTATATCTCTAAACATTGCAGAATTCATCCGGCTGCTTCTGTCTTCTGTCACATCATCAATAAACACCAATGACCCAGCGCCACTGGAAGCCATGCATGCCCATGCCATCACACTGACTCCACGATGTTTTACAGATGACATTGTGTGCTTTGCATCTTGAGCTGTGCCAAGCCTTCTCCACATTTTTTTCTTCCTGTCATTCTGGTACAGATTAATCTTTCATCCATCTAAAGAATGCTTTTCCAGAACTGGTCTGGCTTTTTTAGATGTTTTTTGGCAAAGTCTAATCTGGCTTTTCTATTCTTCAGGCTTATGAATGGTTTGCGCCTTGTGGTAAACCCTCTGTATTTTCTCAAGTGAAGTCTCTTGATTGTAGGCTTTGACAATTATACGACCACCTCCTGGAGAGTGTCCTTAACTTGTCTGGATGTTGTGAATGGGTTTTTCTTTACCATAGAGAAGATCCTGTGATCATCCACCACTGTTGTCTTCTGTGGACATCCATGTCTTTTTATGTTGCTGAGCTCACCAGCGCGTTCTTCTTTCCTCAGAATGTACCAAACTGTTGATTTGGCCACTCCTAATGTTGCTGCTATCTCTTTGATGGATTTGTTTAGTTTTTGAAGCCTTACAATGGCCTGTTTCATTTGCATGGACAGCTGCTTTGAACATATGATGTGGGTTCACAGCAATAGATTCCAAATGCAAATACCACACTTAGAATCAACTCCAAACCTTTTACCTGCTTAATTGATGAAGAAATAATGAAGGAGTAGCCCATCAAACAGCTTTTTATTCAATTGTCCAATTACTTTTGGTCCCTTGAAAAAGGAGGGATGGCTACTCTTAAGAGCTGTAATTCCTAAACCCTTCCTCCAATTTGGATGTACATACCCTCAAGTTAAATCTGAGAATGTGAACTTTTAGCCCATATCCATTACATAACTATAGCTTGAATATGGTTTGGTAAATACCTGATAACAACTAAAATTGTGCCTGTGTCCAAATATATATGGACACCTAACTGTACATATAGAGTATATATATTTAAATATTGCTATAGCAATTTGTTATATGAATATATATATTTTTCCTTTCATATTTCATCATAGTGAACAATGTTGTACCGAAAGTCACATTGTATACTAGCCAATAGTAGCTACCTCTGTGTTTTCCATTAAGTGTCATATGGGAAATTTAAGTTTCCCATTTAGATACAGTATTTTTACATGGTCTTCCAAGATGCCATTGAGAGTTACAAACATATGGTGGCCATACACACTTTGATAAATGATTCATTTCTTTGCCAATTGATCTCTTCTGATCGGAATGATCAATCTATAATCTTCAACCCAACCAATCAATATGCCACATGAAGGGAAGTGGATTTTGAATGAAAGTTAAGATATGATCATACATTTTCAATCACATCCCTTTTTCCACCATGTAATCACATAAATTGATCGAACAGAATATGATTCTATTCCTGAAAAAAAGTATCTTGGTGCTGCTGATTGATGTAAAACAACTGATAATTTTCCACCCTAGTTGTTCAACTCAGTTTGATTGAATCTGATCTAAATAGAGTCTAATCAACCAGAAGGAAGGTATAGCTATTCAACTGTTTGCATATTAGATTATTTTGAATAAATCACACATAGATCCAGTAATAAAATGGAAACGCGCTTGGCTTGGCCAGCAAAATGTCTTTAAAAAATAAAAACTGTTTTAATTTAATGCCCAAAATGGGCCATTGGCCAATCAGGAAGAGCAGCCAATTTAAACTACGATGCTTCCCTTCACATGGCCAATTGTTTTGGTTTTTGGGCATGCGAACAGCACTGGAGGGAACCTTATACAGCAATTTCTCAAAAAAGGTCCTTTTGTCACTTGCCATGTATCCACCCCAGCAAGACTGCATAAATCGCTTTATGTTAACATTTGAGTATAGTCACTTTCACATCTGTGAGTTAGAATGACACCAATTACAAGCAAAACCCCCAGCAGGGGTTCCCGGTGATTAGCTGTGTGAGGCAGCCACATTGAAAGTAATGGGAGGTTTCCGTTTCCCTCAGCTAATCTTGGTCACTCACATATAATTGCTCATGTAATGATTACCTGCAAGTGATCAGCCCTGGATGCAGGCAACCGCAGTTGATTGCTGCATGAGCGATTGCAAGCGAGTGACCACAATTAGCTGCAGAGGCCAGCAGCCTCCCACTGTTTTCAATGGGGCTGCCTCCCGCAGCTAATGGCTGGGAACCCCTGGGGTTTTCGCATGTAAGCAGTGTTGAGCCCATTCACAGATGTGAATTTGACCTATTGGTCCACCATAATGCACACAGCACCGCATCATCCCCTCTTAATGAAAAGTATATCATTTATGAATTTCATGGACTGTCTATATACTAACTATATAAACTTTTCAACTGATACCTTCTGAGTTATGAGTGCTGTGCCACAATGCTCCGTCTGTTCTGTGCTTTCAAAAGCTTCTGCGGGAATCATCTGCACAATATAACCTCCAGAGACCGCTGCTTCTGTTTCGTAGTCACCGCCATCCAAACTTCTGTCTGTGAAAGGATTGTTGGGCTCAGAATCAACCACAAAGGAGCTGCAAGATCACCAAAGAAAAGTTAGATTATGTCTCTATGAGCTTATTACTGGGAATATGACATTTTCATGAAACATAGATTACAGGGCCATTAAGTAGTGGATGTGTATGGATTATATTTGGAGAAGAAAGATAATGTTTAACCCAGGGGTAGGCAGCTTTAGAGAGGTGGAGACCTACCTGAACAACATGAGAGAAATCAAAGATCACCGGTCACAGTGCCCTGTTTCTAGGGAGTATCAGGCACAGCCACTGCTCCCAATTTGACATCCGTTTTGGTGTTGGTCCCCGTGTGAGTTTGGGGACACACATGCACCCACCACATGTCAGATTGGAAGCTGCGGTTGTGTAGCTGTTTCATCCCAAAATGTATGAATATCATTCATTATAAATATGCTCAGTGAAAAAAAATAATAAAAACCCTTCCTTAAATTATAACCATAACAATTTTCAATTAAAGTCCAAAATATAAAAATATCAAAAAATATAAAAACCAAAAATTTAATGTCCCTCTTGAAAAATACAAAAATAAATAAATACGTGTTGTCCAAAATTCATTCAAGTGTAAAGACTCTCAGCCTCTTGCAAAAACTTGATTACCTCAAAAACAAAAACAAAAATATACATAGTGCATTATCCTTTATAGAACAAAAAATAACATGTGAAATCACTCCAATAATATTCACCGCATTGCCTGCACACCAATGCACGGAACAATTGTGCATCCTATGCGGGAAAACACTGCCTTTTGCACAGAAGTACATTTAAAATGGTTCTAAATCTCAGACATAAAATATTAACAAAGTGTATTCCTCTATAGTGCATACTTGTCACAATTAACCTTCTCCCATCCACCCATTGCACATAGACGGCGGACGGGAAGCTTTGCCAATGCGGCCTAACGTACCTGTACGTCATCTCACATCAATGGCTCCTGCACGACTCACCGAGTGATCAGTGTGTTGCCTGGACACAGCAAATCACATTACCGCTGTGTCCAAGTGATCGCCTGGTGGTTTACCATGTGACTGCTGTGACCAATCACAGCACTCACATAGTAAACAATGGAAAGTGACAGTAAAGATCACTTCTCTCTGCTCTCACACAAGAGATCCTGCAGTGTGTGAGTGTAGCCTGTCAGCCTCACTCTCACAGACTGCTGTCAGAGCCACTCCAGTGTCCCTGATGAGTGCCCCAGTATATACATATTAAAACATGCTGCCAACCCGTCACCTGTCCCAGTGTGCACAAAAACTAGGATTGCCACCTCAGCCCTTTAAAACAGAACACATATGAATTACACAGGTTCTGAGGCTAATTTATTGCAGATAAGATAAGATACTAAGTGAGTTAATTAACACCTTAATCAGCCCCAGAACCTGGGTAATTCATGTGTTCGGGTTTAAAGGGATGAGGTGGCAACCCTAACAAAAACACCCAATACCAATGTCCTGATCGCCGCCATACCAGTGTCCCGATCACCACCATACCCTAAACCAGTACCCTGATCACTGCCAAATGCCATACCAACACCCTGATCACCACCATACGCCATACCAACGCCTTGATTACTGCCATACACCCTACCAGTGCTATGATGACTGTTATAGCCCATACCAGCAACCTGATCACTTCCATGCCTGACACCAGCATCCTAATCTCCGCTATGCCCCACAAGCAGCATCCTGATCACCCCATATGCCATGCCAGTGTCCTGATCACCGCCATACCCCATACCAGTGTCCTGATCACTGACATACCCCATACTATCATCCTGATTACCACAATACCCCATACCAGGGTTCTGATCACCACCATACTCTATGCCAGCATCCTGATCACTGCCATACCCCATACCAGCATCTTGATCGCCCCCATAATTCATGCAAGCATCCTCGCTACTGCCATACCAGCGTCCTGATCACCACAATACCTCATGCTAAAGTCCTGATCACCACCATACCTCATACCAGCGTCTGGATCCCTGCCATATGCCATACCAGCAGCTGGCATTTTAGGGTCTCAACTGATCAATTTTCAAATATATTTCCCACAGTTTGTAGACTCTATAGTTTTCACACAGATCAAATAATATACACTTTCTGGGTTATTTTTACCGGAAAAATGTAGAATACATTTTGGCCTAAATTTATGAAGAAAAGTTATTTATTTGCAAAATTTAATAACAAAAACTAAAATGTTTTTCGGTAATTTTTCATTTATGTAGCAAAAAAATTAAAAATCCAGTGGTGATCAAATACCACCAAAAGAAAGCTCTATCTGTCAAAAAAAAAAGGATAAAAATGTAATATGGGTACAGTGTTGCATGAATAATTGTCACTCAAAGTGTGATAGTGTTGAAAGCTGAAATTTGGCCTGGACTGGAAGGAGGTAAAAGTGTCAAGACTTGAAGTGGTTAAGAGCACTAAGTGTCATTTCTGTTCACTGCTTCATTCCTCTGACAGTCACTTCTGACAGGTCTTCCTGACACCAAGAGAAAAATGGTGACAGGGGAGGGACCTCCAGCAGTTTGATAACCTTAACTCTGTTCCTGTGTGGAAGGGAGTGTGTCTCTTCCCTCCAATCAGCTCTCAGAGCTTTCCTCACTGAGCTATGCAGAGTGCAATTTCAGCTTGAGTGCTTTCAATAGGCCTGCATCCTGCAGCTAATCTCCGGGAACCCCTGCTTGCACAAACGTCACATTACAGTTCTCTTGCTAATTTTAGCCACATTGTCCAGAAGTGGACAGAAGAGAGAAATAAAATCACAATCTGTACACTTGGAGGGCTGCCCCCTCTAACCCTACTGCACTAGGCATTGGATGCCTTATGGTAAATACAGCCCTGGCCCCTTGTATCATGGGATTATTTTAGTAAAAACAAGTGCTTAAATGCACTATTAAAGATGGCATGCTTTGTGCTTTCTATTTAGAACAGCTTAAGATTGTAGATTGTAAACTCTTGGGCCCTCTGATTCCTCCTGTATTGAATTATAACTGTACAGTTTGCCCTCTATATAAATCCAGTATAATAATAATAAGAGAAAAGAGAGGTGGTTTCATATTTGCTGATGAATAGGCTTTACCCCCTCTCAATACCTTCTGCACCCCTTTATTCTACAGTGCTGAAATTAGCTACAAATGGCCAGAGGTGACCAGAAGAAGAATACAAAATAAAGAAAGTTATCACAAATTGTAGATTTTGAGGCTTGGTCCTGTCCAGGGGAACTGGACCTGGGCTAGTATTATTATGATATGTTGGGCTGGTGGCCCAGAATGAAGATACTGCACCATTTAGACATCATTCAGGATAGCTGCCTTCTCTACATTCAGACACGAAAATGTGGAAAGGTGTGTAGTAGGAGACCAGGAGAAGAGCTGGGGATCTTGTGTGTGCAACTGGATAGGTACAGTAGTCCTGGAGAAGCGTTGCACAGGGGAGGATAATCAGGCTACAAACTTCAACACTCTACAGCAAGAGGAGGAAAGCAGAGACTTTCCCCAGGCTGTGAGCTGAAGGTCTTGGTCATTTGTGGGAGATAGCAGAGCTGGACAGATTGGTGCCACTGCTGTGTCTTGTGTCTGGGGACCTGGAGTAGGACAGTCCTGCAACTGTATCTCTCTGTTCCTACACCAGAGATGAAAAGACCTGTGCTGGGGTTCAGTACCACTCCACTCCATCCCCCACAGCTATTTCCTCCTTTACCACTATCCCTCCCTCCTAGATTGTAAGCTCCAAGGAGCAGGGCCCCGAACCCCTCGTGTATTGCATTGTATTGTTACTGTACTGTCTCATGTACTGTCTCCCATTATAATGTACAGCGCTGAGTAAACTGTTGGCGCTATATAAATACTGTATAATAATAATAAAATAATAATAATAATAAAGCCACCGAGTACGGGAGCTTAAGAGACCTGTGTTGAGGTGCAGAGACAGAGCCACTGGGGACCAGAGCTGGGGAGAACTGAGCTACCAAGGGTCAGGTCCTTAAAGACAATGTTCAGGACAAGATTCGCTGTGTGTCCGGATTGGTGAGTGGAATCAACTGTGCTTATCCCATCGCTGTCAGCAGTTTAATGCCAGTAGGAGACTCCCCTATTTGCCTAGCACCTCCTTGCTTAGCCTCCTCAAAGTTTGCTCACTGCACGCAGTTTAAAGTGACAGTAACATGTGCACCACCACACAGACAAGCCCATTGTTAGCCAACTTAATATTGCAAATTTAGGCGCCAGGTATTTTACAACCACCTTTCAAGGGTACCCCACTTAGGAAACATATACAATACCCACATCCAGGGGTGTAATCACAGAGTGGACTCTGGAACACTTTTTGATTGGTTAGTACAGAGAGTCACTATGGAAATTTTTTTATTGCCATTCATGTTTCTCACTGTTTATGCTGGCCTTATTAACAATGTGTATAACTGTTAATTTGGTTTAGCATTATTGCAGTCTAGTTAATTGCCATATTTGAGGCTAGAATTCACATCAGTTGGTTTAACATATTGACCTGTTTATTGGTTTGTGTATTCTGTTTATCCTACCCTGCTATAACATACACTACAGTGCAAACGTTTTAGTTAGGTGTGAAAAAATGCTGTAAATTTTGAAGGACTTCAGAAACAGAAGTGCTAATAGTTTATTAACAAAATGGAAAATAAATGAACAGAAGAGAAATCCAAATAAAAATCAATATTTTATGTGACCACCCTTTGCCTTCAAAACAGCATCAATTCTTTTAGGCACACTTGCACTCAGTTTTTGAAGGAACACGGCAGGTACGTTGTTCCAAACATCTTGGAGAACAAACCATATATGTTCTGTGGATGTAGGCTGCCTCAAATCCTTCTGTCTCTTCCGGTAATCCCAGACAGACTTGATGTTGAGATCAGGGCTCTGTGGTGGCCAAACAATCACTTCCAGGAATCCTTGTTCTTCTTTATGCTGAAGATATTGGCTGTATGTTTGGGATCATTGTCCTGCTTCAGAATAAATTTTGGGC